GGGAACGAATCGACCACATAGCATGCGGTAAAGGCAAATAGACAGCGTTGAAAAATATTCACTCCACCAATCGATATGAAGGCCGATCGTGTCGGTGTCGCAGTTTTGAAGCGCGGTCAGTTCAGCTCACCACCACGCTGCAGAATACACCGGGGTATTCCCGGTGTTAACTAAAGTTTACACTAGAAATAGGAGTTGCACGAAGGACAGAACCGGACAGAAACACTTCACACGGTGGCATAAATAAGAAACATAGCAGCGATCTCCTCTTCCTCGGCGCTTCGTCAGAGAAATAATGAAGAACATTTAGATAAAACAAGGAGCGGAAGATACTCCCCGTGTCAAGTATTCTAACCACAGTCATTAGCTGATGTTCTGTGATAACGTCCGGCATGCACATTAATCAGGCGTCCGCACGATTAATGTGTATGCGCCATCACAACCGGCGTTTTCGAATTCTTTCTTTCGTTCGTTGGACGCCTTTTTTCTCTAAAGGCAGCCGGTTTTTGTTCTTGGAGACTTTAACTGGGCGTCGTCGACTCTGATATAGATGTGCAAGGGCGTAGGTGAGGTCAATCTACACGGAACGCCAGAACACGTAAACGCCTCATTCAGGCTTTTCAGATAGGGGATGCCTGGCAGGTTGCATCTTGACACCTGCGGATATACGTGGTGTCGTCGCGACGCTTTTAACCGCTAAGACACGAGTTTATTTTCCCGCCGACTTTCCTTTCACGGTATCCCGATGCGAATCCTGCCTCTCCCGCCGAGTGCACTGTACATTACGAATCACAGCGCACTCACTGTGGCACTCGCGGTTCGTAATTTCAATCCGGACGTAGCGCCTTGTGGCGCCTTGACGTAAGCCTCGTGCGCGAGACTGCGGCTGTAACCGAGCTTCGCGGAAGCATAGCACGGACACTGTCTCTACTGCCCCTTGATGGCACCCAGTGGGACAGTTTGAAACCAGCCCGGCAGTCCGTGCTGGTGGAGCAGACTGCGCTGCTGAACGATGTTGTGCGGTTATACAGTGCATGCGCATTGTATAACGCGGAGGAGCAGGTACCATGCTTATACAGGAGCACCTGAAAGTGCTGCGAGCCCGGTACAGACGCTTGCTCCGGTACAACTCGCGAACGGCCAGTGCCTAGTTTTTGAAGGATAGGCCCGTGCCTGACCCCGAAGTGTTGCGTTACCTCCGCGTGTCCGACACGAGGGGCGTATTGGACGTACTTTGGCGTATGAGCCAAAGTACAGCCAGCATTGGCATTAATGTTGCGGCCGTGGAACCGCAGCCTTGACGAAATGCTCGTCCCTGCGAGAGAAGAAGGAAAGCTGGACGAAAACAAATATTGATTCTGACGAGCCTCTGTCATAAGTAGGGTGTCCTGTTTTCGGGGTGTATTTTTCTTACAATTCGGGGTGTTTCTTGGGGTTTATATTTCCTACAGACTCGATGTTTAAAAAAAATACGGCCTTTACCGAGGTTTTTATTTTGAAGAAAACGGAACGCCGTTATGGGATTCATCACTCTCAGAAAAAAAGGTGTATTATTACACCCCTTGTCCCATATAATACACCCCAAAACTTCAATTCGACGTACAGCGCCCCATAATCGAACAGGCGGCCCCAAAGTGTACGAGGGGCTTGATAGCCGTGTGGTACAACTTATTAACATACCTGATGTACGTATCATGGACTATAAAAAAGATTATCGGAGTTTTCTTGGCCTTACTGCTAAAGCTCCGTGTTTTCTTTCTTTGGTCTTTGATACGTACTTTAGCAATTTAATAAGTTATATCGCACCGTTATCAAGCCCCTGGTAAAATTTGGTGCCGTTTGTTCGACTATAGGGCGCTGTACGTCGAAATGAAGTTTTGGGGTGTACTATATAGGACAAAAGGGTGCAAGGTGATTCCCCTTTTTTTTTTAGAGTGCAGGCGAACAAGCGCGTGTCTCGGATACTGGGAAAAGTTCCCGGTACTTGTAAGGGAAGGAATGGGGACAGGGGGTGTGGTTTGGGGAGAAAAAGAGATAACCTCCAAGACACTTCAGGAGGGGCAATGTTCCGGTTCGACAAAAAATAAAGCTGTAGATAGACGTTTATCTCCTTGCAGCTTGACTTTTTCTTATTTGACGACCGCTCCATTCGAGGCTCAAGTTTCTTCCCAATCCTCATAAATTGACTGGGTTGTAAATTTTCGGGTTTATAGACATTTTTCGCATAACCTCATACCAGCGTGCAACTGCGTACCATCGACCTGGTGCATTTGTGGATTGCCCACTGACATATTGTATGCAATCACCGAGGGTATGGGCGAAAAAGGCGTAGAAACGGACGTCGTGCGCAAGTTAGTTCCGAGGGCTTTTTTTTTTGTACCGTGTTACTATTTCCGATATATCGACGGTTGTCTGCCTATCACTGCGCCGTCGTCGGGTGCACAAATTATTTTAATAAGCATAAAAACAATCGCGGAAAGTGTGCGACGAGGACAAGAAGCTGCAGTGCAAGTCTGACTGCAATGTTATTGAGCTTCACATTTTCCCCAAGGATTCTTATTTATGAAGTCAGTCGATTCTGAGCATGAATTGCCAGGGTTTGGTATCAGACTAATCGTCACATTTATGCTCGTGACTATTTCGTCTACGGCAAGAGGAGCGATTTTAACCCGGTGCAGGTGCTCCGATCAGGTTATCACTGCAAGGTATGCTATTGCTCCATGGCACGTGGAGGGTATGAAAACGTCTTCGTGTCACCGCTTAAGATGCAGCTATCAAATGACGAGAGCTAACCTGCATAGACTACATTAAACTGCTCATATAAACCTTCGTTGTGGAAACTCAGTCAAAACACCCCACCGTTTTCGTCCTTGTTCTTTGTAGGAGGCACGGTGATGGCCTGGCATTTGCAGTCTTGGGTAAGTTACTTTTAAAAAGTAATTCGTTACAGTTACAGTTACTTTCAGAAAAAAGTAGCGAAGTTACCGTTACAGTTACCGCAACGAAAGAGTAACTCTTTACAGTTACAGTTACTTTTAAAAGTAACGACGTTACTTTTCAGTTACTTTTCTATAACACGAAAAAAATTAGAAAAACCTAGAAAACGCCCCTCACAACGTTTTATTGCATAAAATTTAAAAAAAAATATTACGCTTTTTACTTCATATTGTAACTTAGCAGCAGTTGGTTCTCGGAGTTAGTGTTTGAAAGCTTCCACGCCAGAGTAGTGGCGCAAATCAAAATACGAAAGATGCGCAGTGCGGAGTAGTGGCGCTAATCAAAATATAAGACATGCGCAGTGTCCTCCACGTGTATTGTTGTTTCACAGTTGATTCACCCGATTAAAAAGCGTTCGCACAGAAAAAAAGAAAACCACAACATAGATCGTGCTTCAAGACACTAAGATGTAAGTGTTCACTCACAAAGTACAAGCGCGTGCGTAAAGATAACTAGATATTTTTTCATTAAATCTAGACGTGGCTATGTTCGTGTCATGACTCGCAAGAAAGAACGTATTGACAACTTTGTGCAAGGCCAACTTGACACTGGAAATGTCGGAATAGACGATTTGGAAAGTGCAAGGTATGGCTAAATTGCACTCGTTCAGTGATATATTATTCATAAGACACTGGAAAGTAACGACAAAAGTAACGTCGTTAGTTTCATCGTTACCTCAGAAAAAAGTAATAGAACTATAGTTACAAGTTACATTTTTAAAAAGTAACTCGTTACAGTTACAAGTTACCAAAAAAGTAACGAAGTTACAGTAACGCGTTACTAGTAACGCGTTACTATTTAAGACTGGTCATTTGCCAGCTGGATTCAACTGGACAAGTTCCAACCAAGTTTCTGTAGCCCACCGTAAACAAGCGAAGCCAAGTTCCCCCCACACCCACACCGTTGCCTATCCAGATAGCTCTGCTGCCAGCCCCCAGCCAATATTTCAAGTTTTAAGGCGCTAGACGGCGTCGTCGGCGCCACAATGCTTAAGATGTCGACGCCTTTAGAAAAAAAGGTCTTTGGGTGTATACCGGATACACGATCGTAATTTGAACGATAGCAGTGTATAAAATCAATCTAGGCTGAGCCACGAGCAGTGTGATTGGAACCCATCTTGAATTGAATTGTTTTTTGTTCCTCGAATTCAAAAACAGGTGGGATGTCAAAGTGAATGTTGGAGGTTAACGCATCTTATTTGGATTATTCCTACGTCTTATTTATCCACGTGCCTGCAACTTTTTTTTTATTCAATGGAATATTAAGTGTGTTCAATTTATTTAGTAATATATAGGACGCGTCAATAAAATATTTTAATTAAAAAAATAAACGAAATGATCAGTCAGGTGGCGTTGTCCTTTATTTCATTCATCAAATAGTGAATCAAGGAACTGATTGCCCACACTGAGCCGAAGCAATAGACTACATTACACAGAGCTTGCAGAAGCGCGGATGTCTCCGCGTAGTGACATCCACCAGGTTGTCCCAAAACATTCCCTACCCTGTCGCCATAAAACAATCGCCAAACATCGGGGCCTCACCCTTGCAAGCTGAAATTCTTTTAAAAATTCGGCCAGATTCGCCGGAAGCAAATTCGAGGTGTAATTCGACCCTAACGGTCTTTAACCAGCAATGAGTCATATAAGAAAAAAGAAGGCGTTTCTTCCGATTTGTTTTTAACACAGGCGCATCAGCTTGAGCCTTCCCCTTGTAAAACAGGCCCAGTGACGTACATTTCCTACTTTCAATCTCACGAGTCTTCTCCAGTGCCCTTAACGACAGATGTGCTAGAGAGTTGCCCTGTAAAATGGTTTGCCTGCTCGAGCACTTGAGCGCGGAAAAAGCTTCCTGAAACAATGTACACACGCCTGCATCTACCGAAACGCTTCACTCAGCTACTGAGATGGCGTGTATGTGAATGTTCAGCTCTCTATTCCCAGGCACCGGTGTTTGAGGTTGATTTCATGGCGTCAGCAATGTCCGGGACACGGTCGAGTCGGCGTTCACCAGTAAGGCCCCGGCAGAGGCAGCCTCGCGGACGGAGGGTAGCGCGCCTGGTGGCTCAGCTGTTGGTGGCTGAGCCGCTGAAGAGGCTGCTGTTGCTGAAGAGCCTGCTGCGGATTGAAGGGCGGGGGTAGGGGCGGCTGCCGCGGGTAGGGGCTTCGAGGAGGAGGTTGTAGACCTCGGTAGCCCTCTTCAAGCTCCTGCTTCTCCTTGAGGGCCTGGCACTCGAACACGTCCTTGCAGCTGTAGCCGAATCCGCGACCGTAGCGGTCCGTCGTGAAGCCGAAGCGGTACGGGTCCATCCTGCGGGATACAGAAAACACGCGCGCAGGCTTCATGTTAGGAAACGGCTTAAACCGGCCGTCGTGTATGCCAAACAAGCAGATTTCCCCTCCCAAGGTCAAAGGCTTCCTGCGCTGAAGCTTTGAACAAACTGTGGCGTCCTCATTCTGAGTAGTACAAGCTGACCTGATTGGGCCTCGCACTATTAATGGCACGCTGGCTGAGCTTTTTTCTTTCAGTGTGGTGGCGAAGAACGGAAAAACACCTTTGGACGTTCGAAATCGGATATATAGATTCAACGCCGGAAGGCAATCGAAAGTGCCAGATTCATGCCACAACTGCTAGGATAGGCGTCTCTTATCTCTGAAGTAGAGCCGTGTATTGGGAGAGTTTGGCCATTTATTGGTTTGAACTTTGAATAGGCGAGCACCTCGTAGCCAACCACAGGCCGCCAAACAGCCCCTAGCAGTGGTCGCGAGCTCTAAGAACGCGACTCGACTAATTGAAGCCATTTTAGCGTCGCTAGAGTAAAAAAGTGTAACTCTTAGTGACTGAAAACTTGGCGCATGCGAGGTTCTCCTGACGTCCATATTCAACGGTAGAATAAACGAACGTGTGCTCCAAAATGAAGCAAACTGCGTTGTTGCGATCATTGCTGTTGCTAGATTGAACGCTTCTATTTCACGCTTTAAATGTCGTTCCCAATATTGTGACGTCGAGGTCTGCTGATTGGTCAACGCTGTGTCGCACTTTTAGTTTACGCTCTAACCGCGGGAGGAATATTCGGCGTTCGCGGCGGCCTTTGATCCGCCCATTGGCCAAACTCTCCCAATATACGGCTCTGCTCTAAAGCGGTGACATCAGAACATCTGGCGTCGCGACGCTTTTCTTTTTTTAATTTCTTCTTTGGAACGCGTGGAATGGCGTCTCTTGGCTCACGCTCTTGGCGTCTTGATTTTACCTGTGCTTCGACGGAGTTCGAATGTTTGTTTTTTCTTTGTATTTTTCTCGTGTTCTCGTGTTATGCACCAGAGCAGGCACGCTTCTACACGCGTGATAGTTTGATACGCTCAAGTGTGTACTACCCAAAACTAGTCCTAACAAGTCGCTTTTAGCAGCGCCCCTTGGGCAACGCAGGAAGCTTATACGTAAAATATCGAACACGCGATTTCGGTGGTGTAAGGAGGCCGTGTTCTAATGGGTGCATGTTTTTAATTTGACAGGTGGCACGGGCTCTTCTGGCGGCTGGGAGGTTTGGTAGGTTTTGGTTGTCTTTTAGAGTGATAGATATATGTGGCAATCGTAAATGTTCTTGGGATTTGACTAGTGCTTCAAACGATAATCTGCTTCAGTGTTTCACGGCCTCTCACAAAAATGGAGGTAGTGTGCCTTCCTGGTCGAAGAAAGTCCCGCGTGTTCATAAATCTTGGTGAAGTCAGCTATACCCGGCGGGCCTGTCATGAGCTCCTAACGATAGTATAAAATTTAATGCAACTATATTACTGTTAGTCGTATTCGTTTCAAACAAACCGGTTATTTTTTTTTTGTTTCGTGCTAAAGCAATTTAAAATATTTTTGTTACTAATGTATAATGGCGTTTTTGTTTAAAGGGCAACCCCGCTCACAGCGTGATCCAAAATTAATGACTGATATCACTTTAGTAGAGAATTAAGTATAGTTATAATCAAAATATCACGTCAAAATACCACGCCGTGGTGACTACTAGACCTGGCATTAAAAATGCTACCATAAACTTCTTAGAGTCGGGTCTGCTGATACTGAAGCTACGCCGGGAAAAGTTTCACCATTTTCGTGCAGCTCTTGCTTTTGCGCTGCCGACTGAACTGACGATTGCGGCTGTTTCTTGTATTCGCGCAAAAAAAGAAAACACATATATATATATATATATATATATTTTTTTTTTTTTTTGGGGGGGGGGGGGGGGCGGGGGCGCTGAGGTGGCTTGGAAATTCATGACCTGGGGTGCGGAAGCGAGGAAGGAGGGGGTCAAATTTAATGTGTATATAAGGTTGACTGGATTTTTTTTTTTAGGGGGGGGGGGGGCGGGGGAGGGGAGGGTGGCTAAAGCCCCATAGGCTTCCCCCCTGGCTACGCCACTGGGCGCAAATGAGTAAACCATATGCCCCGTGGCAAGAAAGTAGTGCCACAGCCGTCGCCATAGCTGACAAAGCGATGGCAATAATATCTCTATAAAAATTATACCAGACTATGATAATTCTGGTCGTGACGTCACGGTTAGAAACTATAAGAGAAAACCTCTGAGACACCTCGCCGCCAAAATGAAAGGTAACATTTATCGTTAGATGGTACATAACCCTGCTAGCCTGGGGTGTTTAACGTGCATCACACAGTAGTGCTATACGATAAATGCCAGGACCCAAGTTGGCGACTTCTGCAAAATCGACGGCACCTACAGTGTCGAGTACACGTATCTATCGTAGCCTCCAAGATTGCCGGTGCGCGAAATTTCCTCTGGATGGTGAAAACGCCCCGCCGCCCAGCAGAAATACCGAAGGAGCGTACTATAGCTCCAGTACTGCAACCGCTCTCTGAGGGCGGTAAGCTCAGGGCTGAAGCCTTCAAAAAACTTTATTCCCTCCTTAAAAAAAAACAAAAAAAAAAAAAAAACACGCCGTTACGCGGGAGCAGCAGTCAAAAGTCACTGCTTCTCAAGATTGCGATACGAGAAACAGTAGTTAAAGTTGCATTGTCGAAAATTTTATACTAAGGAGATTTCGTATGCCAAATTCCCTGCTTCGCTAAGGGAGAACGGTACGGCCAATCAGAGAAAGGGAGACGAAGCACGATATAGCCCTTAGCAAATGCACAACTGCTTGGAAAAGAGAGGAAGGAGGAACTCCCCGCTTATTTCATTTCTTTGTATTTATTCATTCGACTCTCAAAGGCCCCACGTGGGCACTACGTAAGGGCAAGGGCTGGAGGGGGAAGAAACATAAAGTCAAAAACAAAAAAAAATCCCAGTGTAAAAAAAAAAAAAGAGGGGGGGGGGGAGCGCCAAGCATATTACAAAATTTTAAAACAGAAGCGGTTTCAAAATATTTATTTGTGTATGATATATAGTTGGGACAATATATTGTAAAGTACATAAGTAATACAATGAAAAAGCATGGAAAATAAAACAAGAACTTCAGCACTGGTAATTAGCAGCAATAACTAGTTTCAAACAGTGAAGTCAATGATTCACGGAATAGGTTGGTGTCACTGATGTCTACGATGGAGTTGGGAAGGCCGTTGCAGTCCCGTATGCTTCGTGGAACAGCGGAATTAATAAATGCATCAGTTGTTTCGGTCAGGTGCTTGAAACTTTTGGTGTGGTTGGTTTTATGCGAGGATCTATTAGGAGGCTGAACTAAAGTTACATTAGCATCATGATAGTAGATTTTATGAATGAGTCACAAAATAAATTTTACGGCGGTTTTCTAGTGGAGGAAGAGAGCATTCGCGTCTTATACCCCTGTTACACGGGCACACTTAACCGCGGTTAACTCAACTTAACTGCTGTTTCGCGGCACCACAGATACCGCACTATACTCTCTGACAGCTATATCAGAAGAAGTGAAGAGCGCGAGCGCACTGCTTCGATAGATGCTCAAGATGCTCGAGCGCACGTTCGCCCATAGCTTTGACTGCATAGCCGCAGAATGTTGTCCGCAAGTATTGTGCGCTATCTGTGGCTTAGCGTAACTGCAGTTAAATGTGCCCGTGTAACAAGGGTATTAGAGAAGAAATACCTATACTCTCATGAAACGTGCCGCTCGGTTTTAAACGGATTCAATGCGTCTGATTAAGTAGTTATAAGGGCGTTCCGGATTGAGGGGGGTGAAGGATATACAAGTTTGGGGCGAATATAAATTTCATAGGCTAGTGTCCGAAGCAAGGATGTGCTGCTTTGAGGTTACGCTTAATATATCAAAGGGTTCCAAAAGCATTAGCAATTATGTTCTTAACATGAGTGGCCCATGAGAGGTCGGATGTGATGTGAACTCCTAGAAATGTTACCAAGCTTATAGAAAAAAAGGAAAAGAGTTTTTCAGTTTTTTTTTTGTAAGTAAAATACAGTAAATACAGTAAAATACAGTTTACATTTCAAATCCCGGAGAAAAGCTCACCGGAGGTAAGCTCACCCACTTTTGTGCGGGTCCGGAGAAAAGCGGGTGAGAGCAGCCAGCGGAGAGCACGTCACATCCGGCGCAATCGTGACGTAGATTTTTCTCGGGGAGAGCAAAGCTGCAGCGAGGCTGACGTTGTCAGGGTGCCCTAACCGTTCCAGCCACCGAAGCGGTTGAAGCACGCCAGCGATCGGGCCACCAAAACTAATCGCAAAGCTGCTTTTGTACGAATGGGTGAGCGGCGTTTGGCAACTTCCGGTTCCCTAGAAAATTTTATTTAGCTGTTGACAAAAGACGGCGGTAATCTGCAGGCTTGTCTAAGCATGGGTTCTGAAAACAGTTAGGAGGTTTCAAAACCACGCTTGCGTGGGCTTGTAACTCGTCGTTTGTCAACTGTGAAACAAAAGTTCATAAGGAACCGGAAGTTGCCAAACGCCGCTCACGTATTTTGAGGGACGGGTTAATCTGCAATAATCTTGTAGAAGGACAATAGCGACCTATGGGACACATAAAAGAGAGTCCCGATGAGACGGGAGTTCCTCCCTCCCTTCTTCTCTTGCGCTGGCCGGAAAGCTGTCGGGATGACGGCAGGTTGAAAGCATGTATAGACCTTTTTCGTGTATTCTCGTCCCCAGCCACCTAATAGGCGTATCCGGTGTGGGCGACGAACAAATAATAAAACGTTTCAACCTGTAAATAGTAAAAAAATCGAGGGGAGGCAAAACGAGAATGTGTGACGGTTACGCTTATCTCCTAAATGTCTTCTATTAGCGTGGCGACGTCAAAACATTGTTTTCGCCCACACTGTAAGTGAAGACAATTCAAGATGGCGGTGCCCTTGTCAAAAAGATCTATAGTTCTAGGCGAGAC